CCGTTCATAAGAATCTTAAGAGCAATTCAACTAAGGCCATGTCCACTGTGTATCCTCCTGATGCTAACCATGAATCTAATGAGAATTGGAGGAAAGCTTGCTGAACTTCAGCAGGATTGAGAACACGTCTCTGGTACATCCTAGTGATTTTTTATTAATTAACATGCCCTCTCAATAACCAGGCACTCAGGTTTAGAGATGCTGGGTTGTGATAGAACAGTCATGCCTGTAACTGAAGATCCAGAGTGGATAGTAATAGTGGAGAGGCCAGATCTCCCACTCCATGAGGGCCGAAAACCAGGGATGTCTGACCAGGGCAATGCAATCAGAATCACTACAGCCTGTTGTCTCTCTACCTGTTAGGTGGTGCATGCTGTCATGGGAAAAGGAGGGAATGTCTGCAGCAGAGCCCTTGGCCATACCTGGGAGAAAGCATCAAGTCCCCAGGCCCACCACTTTCTGCTCCTGACCTAGAAGTTGTTCCTCTTGGAATTGGAGCTAGAGGAGATGACAAATTGGTTTCCCAAAAGTCTGGGTTATGCCCTTAAGCTCCCTCTGCTGAAGACACCATTGTTAAGGTGGCTTTGTAGCGGAGCATGCTGCCGTGAATCAGCTTAGTGATTTTAAAGCCAGGACAGCCCTGTACTTCCATTTCTTTGGCACCAAAAACAGAATGGAGTGTAAGTCCCAATACCAATCCTTGTCTAGGACAGGCTCTATCACCCCAAGATTTGCCAGACCATAATCTTCCTCTTGGACAGGCTGATTTGGGGGAGGGGAGATCTTTTTCATTTTTGTGGCATTGGGGGGGGGGGGATGGGGAGTCTTAATCATTTGTCCACATTGGTGGCAAAATAGGTGTGACTAAAAATGGGGGGCAGCATGCACTCCACCTCCTCCCAAAATAGGCTGGTACTCTGATTTCACTTGGGAGCATTCCTGGAGACTGAATCACCTCTAGGATTAATGGTCCCAGCTTTCCCCAATCTAGGGTAGAAGAGAAGATAGATTCTCTGAGCATAGATATTTGAATGCTCCAATACCCCACAATGGCTGCCTACAGAGGAAAAACAGTTTACAATCTCTTAATGATAACTTAGTTAAGAGGAGAAAACATTTTTTGTCCTGTGCTTCAGATGCAGCTTTTTCTATTGGTTCCCCAACCCCCTCAAGTATAGGTTTACTACCAAAAACCTGTCTTCCAGAAGTATCTGCTTCCATAGCCATAGATGCCTTCTTGAGCATCGAGTGAGGCATCTGAAACTAAAGCAGATGTTATGGAAATTCTTTTTAAGTTTGATCCCAATCCCAGACCTTCTTGGGAATGTGAGAGAGCAGGGACTCAGTATAAGCAAATACTGCTCTAGTGGGGGTGGGGGGAAGTGGCCTCTGCAGAGGCTCTAATCTCTTCAGTCTCTGCAGAGAGCTCATTCTACCCATCTGTCAGTGAAAACTTGAGTAGGATTTTTTTTTTTTTTTTAAAGCACAAACAGGTTTACCAAGCTGCCTTTGCACCCTTAAACAAGATAGCCAGGATGGGAACGTAAGGGTCAGTTTTACAGCTCACTGGAAAATATTGAAAATATTTTTGGGTGTTTTCTATCTTAGACCTCCTCCTGATCTGTGTCCCCTTTTTGGCTGACTGCTGTGGGAAGATACCCAAGAACAACAACAGCCATACTCAAGAGTAAAGGCAAAAAGCTGTGTAGGGAAGATCATTCCTGATGATCCTCTAGGATTTCTTTGCTCTCTGTCTGTGACCCTTGCACTGCTTAGAGAGGACTACCAGGAGAGGGGGCCAAGGCTTTTGGAGTAATAAAGAGTCTGGAGAGGAAAGAGCTTATGCTTTTCCACCGTAGACTCTAAGATGGCTGCTGAGAAGGTAGGACAGGAACCTGTTCTAAAATGGCTGCCTGTAGTACACAAGCTCCCTACTCAAAAATGGGCACCAAGCCCCCACTACAGAGCAAAGAGGGGACAGAGGCAGGAAACTGATTTCACTGTGCTGCCAGTTTTCAAGAGGCCTACAGGATTGAGTGGGTGTCCTGACCACTGCATGTCCATTGGCATGGAGAGAGAGGGGTCCAGGCAATCTGCTTAGCTCCCCCATCATGATGCTTTGGAAGGTGACTGGGGCCCTGGAGTTTTACCATGTTGACTGGAGCTGCTGAGGTGGGATACTTGCTGATAAGGGTCCAGTCCACATTGGCAGCAAAATGGGCCTGTTTCCTGGGCACTTTCTTCAGTGCCTTGTCTTACTGGGCCCCTCACTTAGCAGCAGCCACCACTGCACTGTCCTATGTCAGGGACGTATGCTGTTTGCTTTCTAACTGCAGTAGCCCTGAGCTGAGGTTGGGGGAGCAAAAGGAACGCTTTTCCCCTTAGTACACTATGCCAAAAGGGGTTGAGCAGAACATAGAGATGCCCTTTTCTTTTTATGCTTTTTTCTGACATTACCAGGGCTAATTTGAAGGGAAAGCATGGTTAAAGTACCCACAACTGCCTGGAGATCCATGAGGTAAATCTGAACAGCCCTTAAACAAAAACAAAAAGTAACGCTACACTAACAAAGTGGACAGCTAAGGGGAAATAAAAGAACCAGGAGGGAAAAAAAATAGATTGTCAATCTACACACACTCCACCTGCTTTCCCTTTGGAGCCAGAGAAAATTCTGGAGGGGATTTTCTGTGGAAGGACTTATCTAGAGAGTTAGCCCAGCCAATCAAGACAGCTGACTGCCTCCTTTAGAAGAGACTGAAGAACCCAGCACTACTGAATTTATGGAGCCATCCCCCACAGTGAGAATGCACCATATCCACAAGTTATTTTTATACTTGAAAACTCTAAAAATGTGGTCTCTAGAAATTGCAAGAACATTAACAGTTAAACTACAGCTAAAAGATGCAAAAATGAGTGACATGATTCTTAAAGATTAACTGTCCCAAACTCAAATTTTGAAATTCTAAAAGTTAGGATTCCCTCTGCTCCCAAAATGACTGCGAACATTTCCTTTTTCTCCTCAGGCCATTGGTGCTAGCCATAAGCAGCAATGTCTGCAGCTACTTTTACTGAAGTATAGGGAGAGGGAGGAACAGAAAAGACCGTACTGGATGTCAATTCCTTAGCAGGGAGTGACACATCTTCATGTCAGATGACAGCATCTAAGACTACCACTTATATTATGCTGCTCTCAAATGTTTACATATTTGAAAGGTTAATATACAAGTGTGAGAATGAAGAGAAAAAAGTAGGCAAGTATGGGAATGGAAAACAGTCAATTGCAAAATGGGAATGGGGGAAGGAGCTGGAGGAGAGGTGCAAGAGAGTAAGTAGTCATAGCCAAGTAGACTACCCAGCCTTCAACATGCCTGGGTCAGTTGCCTTGAGGCTTCCTCTGTAGATTGCTCCTCCGAGGAGCTTGCTAGAACTCAGGCCCTTCCATAACTAAATGGGTCTCTTCACCACCCCCTGCTATAAGAGATGCCAGCACAGGTTGACATTAGAGCTGAATACTATAGTAGAAAGCAGACTAGACCTTTGCCAGTTTGACAGGTTTGATCCTGACACAGATGGCACTACTGAACAAGACAAAGGGTACGTCTTCACTACCCGCCGTATCGGCGGGTAGCAATCGATTTATCCGGGATCGATATATCGTGTCTCATTAAGACGCGATATATCGATCCCCAAACGCGCTCACCGTCGACTCCGGAACTCCACCAGAGCGAGCGGCGGTAGCGCAGTCGACGGGGGAGCCGCGGCCATCGATCCCGCACCGTCTGGACCCCAGGTAATTCGATCCAAGATACTTCGACTTCAGCTACGCTATTTGCGTAGCTGAAGTTGCGTATCTTGGATCGATCCCCTCCCCGCAGTGTAGACCAGCCCAAAGATAAGGATGTTAGACAGTAGCCACCCAGCAATTGCAGTGAGCAACTGGAGGCTGGCCTGATTCTCCCCTATGCCTGGTCTCCCTCTCAAAGCCAAACAGAAATGGGGACAGGATGAAGACATGGATGTTAGGCATATGAGCACCCAAAGACGACGGAGCATCAGGAAACATTGCACTACATCTTATTGCAGCCCATATCAGTTAAATTTTAACCCCTCCCCCAACAATTAGACTGGCATTCAGACAAACCAAGATGAAGTGACTAGGTTCTCTATTGTTGATTGTGATCATGTAGTTCTTTTGTGAAAATTAGTGTGGTTTAATATTTGTGACTTGTTTTGTAGCAGCCTTAAAGTGAAAATATTTTCAAAAATACTGCCTAGCACTGCACTTCTAAATCAAGATGACTATTTTATGTCAGTGGCTCCCAAACGTTTTATGAAGGCAACCCTCATCAACTGCGTTGTGTTTTTGGGGACCCACCATTATACACACCCAATCTAAATAGATATAACTTTAAACCGCAATACTATATTAACTCAGCCCCCCGTTTGCCCCCCCTCCTTCCTAACAAACCCCAAAACTACCTGCTGGGCTCCCCCTAAGCCTCCTTGCTCTTGTTCTCCTAGCCCTGCCTGCCCCTTTCCCTCTCTACAGCCAGTCTGCAATTGCTAGCAGGCTGTTGACTGCACTCGCTGGCTCTGGCCACGTCTGGTGTACTCCTGTCACCACCTGAATCCTGCTCCCCTGACCCAGTGGAAGTGAGAGTTTGGGGGCTGCGCTTCCAAGGCACATGTGGGGCAGGCTCAAGGCATAACATGAGCATCACTCTCCTATCCCAACACCCATTTTAAAAAATCCTAAATCATGGCAACACATCTGGAACCTTCCCCTGACCAACTGGTGAGTTGGGACCCACCCCATGGGAAACAAGATACTACTCCAACAACACAAGCAGTAAAAAGATTCAGTACCATCTACAAGCTCTGTGTTTAAATATTTCAAATCTTATTTGAGGTATCAACAGTGGAGGTGATAATTCAGTCTAACAAAGCAGTTTGCTCCGAATTAGCTTTGGTAATAATTAGAACAATTTAATTCAACGGAGCAGTAAAAAACAGCGCTATATTTTATTTCTTGTAAAAATCTTTATACACATGCAGACTAAAACCAGTGTAAGAAAGTATCCACCATTGTTTAGACAAATAACTATACTTAAATATAAGCGTCTGCAATTGGCCTGTATAAAAATAAGGTACTTTTTTTAAACAGAAATATGTTCTCCAGTTCTGATATTGATAAACAACACACAACTCTAATACGTACAATTTAACCTGATCATTATTTTCAATTGTTTGATACTGCTAAGGTATTTTATGTGCAAAAATTTAACATAGTTCTTCCAAAGAAAAATGTCCTACATGTTTTAGAAAATTAGATGTTGGACTTTAAATAAATCAATTCCTAATCAGTTTCTTCTCCAATCTCACAGTCCATACACTGTATTATATATAGGTTTAACTAAAATCAGGTACAGGCCCAAAACCTAACGCCTGTGTCTGCTATGTCCTGAACGACTGCTGCTATGGTGCTTGCCTTTATGAGATCTCTCAAAAGAGCGGGATCTTTCACGCCTGTCCCTGTGATGTCCCCGTTCATGCCTGTGTTTCTTGGCAGCCTCGGCGTGATCCCTGGATTTACTCTGAGAACGCGAGCGAGATTTTTTCCTTTTGTGACCATGTCTATTTGCACTCTTCAACTCATCCCTGCTGTGCTTGGCTTTTAGGTGTGGAGATCCATGATTATGATGTCTGTGAGGACTGCCACTGTGACTGCGGGACCTGCTTCTTGACCTTGAGCTGTATGTTCCTGATAGACTCCTCCTATTATTGTAACTTACAAAAAAAGTTAAAATTAGGATGTTTACATCTTTGTATGCTGTGAAAATAAAACTTATACAACTGCCTCAATTTTAAACAGAAGGTTTGAAAAAAGTCAATAAGCATCCATCAAGTACAGGGCATAAGGATCCTATTGTTAGACAAAGTACTTTAACAGTGTGTTCCAAACTTTTGAAAGCTGAGCTTCCCCCCTCATCAAGAGCAAAGCAACTCCACCCTACCTTCAACCCACTCAGTGGTATTGAAAGCTCAACATAAGCAACCACTCAAGCGTAGATTGTAGTTCTTTCTATGCTTACTCTTTTTTACATGCTGTGGGCAGTGAAGTGTTAAGTGACATGCCAAATAAGTTTGATCACAGAATTAAGATCATTCACATCCCTGAATCATCATTTAAGGCTCTTTACAAACTCCAGTAGACACTGCATTGGTTAAAAACACTGATACAGGGTTTTCTTTGCATCAATAGCTAAAGATTTGTACATGTGTTCAACTCCTAGCAGTGCAAATGATAAATGGGTATCCACAGAACAAGTTTTGGTCTCCAAAGCTATACATTTAAATGGCTAAAACATTTCCACATGTGTTCCTTAATATGGATCTTATATACACTTCAGATATTTGGGGAGGAGTTTACAACATGCATTGAAAATTTGGTTGCATAAGAGACTCAATTTCTTATAGCACTTTCAGACATACAACTACTCCTACCGTTTTAAGGGAAGTGCTTAAGAAAATTCTCATATTTAAAATGGAAAACTTAGGTGCAAATGATGATTTTCAAACAAAAACCGTAAGAGGACCTTACTCTCTGCCATAGTTGAGTTTTAGTATTATAGTTGATTTATCTTAAGCATGTATGGATATTCTTATACCACTGATTTTCATCCACTACCATGTGCATTTGAATATCTACTGGATACCAGTACAACTGTGTGATACTATAATAGAGGGATTTGCTGTTAGTAAACTAACTATTGTAAGACCATCTACTATATGGAATGCCATTTTGAATTATTCTCTTAAAACAAGTTAGTCATTTAGCAATCAAAAAGTACTATTTTACTTACTGTCTCCTAGGAGTATGAGATCTAGACCGTGACTTTGTTCTTGACCTTGATCTACTAGCACTTCTGCTGCTTCTACTTCTCTTGCTTTCTTTTCTCATGCTTAAATTAAAAAGAAAATTTGAAAATTACACTTAGCAAAAGCAAATTTATTTTCACAAAACTAGATGGCAAAGACTCATTTGAAAGTGCCTGACTTAAGTTTGACTGGCTTAAAAAGCCAGATTTTTCCTACCCATTGTAAGGACTCTCTGAAGCTAGTTGCCTTTCTTCTGGTTCTTTTTTAATAGTTTTGGCATTCACAGATACTGGCGTTTTCTCCTCAGTTTTCATTTCTCTTGGGGAAGCTAAGAATGAGAGCAAATAATTCAAGGTTAAGATGTTATACACTAGTGGTAGAATTTGACATCAAGGAACAGGATTTTTTGGTACATTTTATGCAAGTGTTAACTTTATATAAGCGCTAACTTAAAAACTTTTAATGCTGACTGCTGCTTTCCTCTTTCCATTTAGTAGCTGCTCCTGTAAGTGAAAATATTACATTTAAAGACACCAGTAAAATCTTTTATTTAAGTAGTCTGTAAATCATACGATGGCAAGTACACTGTCTAATGCGTTTTTTTCTTTAAAGATGTATTTATCCTTTCGCCCAAGGTACATGTAATAGGCACAAATTATGAAACAAGATGAAGTATGTCTCTCCATCAAGAGTAATACCCTGCTCTAACCCGCTCCTCTCACACATACTTCGTAGAACCCTGGGAAAATATAGCCCTTGTACCTTGTCCTGAAGTCAGAATTAGGCTGTTGGAACAAAATTCTGAGAACAGAAGCCAGTTCTAGTTGGCCTCATTGAAAGCTGCAGCCAAGGTGTTCTTGCTTAGTTAAGATATGAAACTTATCTTACTACAGTAAAAGCTTTGTTGTCCGGCATGGGTTTAGTCAAAAATTCTGGTTAACTAAGCGTTATACTTACCAATGGAGGGAGGGAGTCTGGGTGCAGGAGAGGGCTCAGGGCTGGGGCATGGGAAGGGGTGCGGGACGCAGGCTCTGGGAGGGAGTTTGGGTGTGGGATGGGCTCAGGGCTGGGGAGGGGGCACAGGAAGGATTGCGGGGTGCTGAATCCAGGCAGCACTCACCTTGGGTGGCCGCCCACAAGTGGCAATATGTCCCTGCTGCTCCTAGGTGGAGGTGCAGTCAGGTGGCTCTGCATGCTGCCTCTGCCTGCAGGTGCTTCACCCCCCCCCTCCCCCTCGCCAGCTCCATTGGCCATGGTTCATGGCCAATGGGAGCTGCGGAGCTAGGAGTGCACAGAGCCCTGTGGCCATTCCTCCACCTAGGAGCAGCCGGCACACGTTACTGCTTCCGGGGAGCCCCACAGAGCCAGGCAGGGAGCCTGCCAGTCCTGCGCCAACCATACTTTTAATTTGTATTGGGAGATATCAGAAATATCAGTTTCTAGAACTTTACCAACCGGAAAGTGCTGGATAACACAGCTTTTACTGTACTAGCTTGAGCACGTAAGCTCATGGACCCACACAATCAGGTCATCAAACCACGAGCACAACATTTAGGGTTTCATTTCAAAACCAATGCCATGAATTGCACCACATACTGGATGTTATTTGAGAGGAAGGTTTTATCTTATGCCTCGACTAACCAACGGCAGAATTACCATTACAAATTGAGTTGCTGGCTTGTTCTGAACGCCCTCAAATCCCATTTTCACTCAGCTTTGAGGGAGCTAGTCATACATAAAATTATCCCCTCACCCTCCCTTTAGGAGTCCATAAGGGACTTTTACATGCACTACTTCAAAGAACTTTCAAAGTTCAACCAAATTGCAAGTTCTCAAGGAATAGCTGTTACTTTGAAAGATACAAAACAAAATAAAGATTTAGTTTCTATACATTTGCTCTAGTCTTCAGATAATGTACTGTAATCATTTACTGTGTGTTTGTACATTGCCTAGTATAATCATGCCCAACCTAGCTGTGGCCTTTAAGTGCTACTGGAATTTAAACGTTAAAAATATAATTGAAAGAGATGTATTGGCAAAAAGTTGAGACTTGTATGTTCTAAACTGACAGGATCCTTTTAAAGTTCTTTACAGCATAATTTTAATTATTGGCTGGTCCGTTAAATGTATAACTAAAGCTATGTTCTATGCACTGTGGCTATTCTATATTATTGCCAAGACAGCACTGCTACTGGAGCTTCCATTTCTAGATTTCTGAATTGTTCACATTCACAGCTTTGAATTGCAGTGGTCCTACTGTACCTTGATGGATAAACACATACTGAAAAGTGTTTTAAAACAATTTTTAGAAATACCTAGCACAAGGAAAATAATGAGCAGGCACATCTGTTAAAAGAGGAATTGAGTTGTGTTATGTGACTAGATTTCAAGTTAACAGTGTCACTTTAAATATTCTATTGCATTTCAGAAACACTGGCATATGAAAATCCCACTTACTCACACAAGCCATACTTACAAGCTTTCAGTATTTATTATGTACTTCCACAGTAAAGATACAGTGATGCATATGCTGAATGTGTACCATTAAGTGGCATTAACCAAGTAGTATGACATAATGAGCATCTAATCGATATTGCAATTTTCCTTCAATATCACATTATTGCAGATTGCCAATAATGGATGCCAATGAAAATCCAGTAACTGAAAGTAATTAAAATGTTATCCTCTAGCTTTAACCATATGAAAAGTTTTACATAACTTCACAACTCTCAATGGAGAATGAGAAATTTTACATCTCATTCCTTCTACTGCATCAAGGTATAGAATCAGAAGAGATTCATTATATATAGACATCTTCCTACAGGACTGTTGCTTGCATTGTAACTTACATGGTTTGGAAGCAGGAGAAAAGCCACCCAGTGTTGAGAGAGCTGGAGTACCATCTGGGTTTAATCCTTTTGCTTTAAGTTTAGCTTCCTGTAATGCCATTTTTCTCTTTTCTACTTCTTTATCCAGCAATTCATAATTAGGCTGTTTAAGAGAGGAATATGCACTGTCAAGATTTTGGACCAAGATTACTCTAATCAATGTACCACACCTATTATTGTATCTGACACCCATGCATTAAGCAACATATCTAACATGGGTTATATGTGATTCACTCTCTCATGCTCTTCCCCAAGGAGGGAATGGTGAATACAGGGGAGCATTTTTCTGGTAGATTTTGAATTGTACATGTTTACATATGTGTTCAAACTCCAACATACACACCCTACTTGGCAATGCTAACTTTATCTTCATTTAAGTTAGTCAATTCTAAACACAAGCTACCTTTTTCCTAGTATAAAGCTTCAGAGTTGTTATACATATCTCCTGAATCTCATCTTCTGTGGTGCCAAAGAGTAGAAACCAATGAGGACGGGTAGGCAGTGGAATCTAAAAGACAGAATTAAGCCTTAATATCTAAAGATCAAAGAAATCTGACCTTTAGTATCATTACAGAGGTTTTCCGGGAACAAAAACAAAGTTACTAATAATGAATATGCCAATCCCAAGCAATTAAACACAAACACGCTTACCTGAAGAGCTCTAGCAGCAAGATAAATACAAGCACATGCTATTGTCTCTGGTTGAAAACGAACGAACACATTAGTTCGAAGACTGTCATTCATGTAATTCCTAAAAAAAAGTTAATTACAAGTTCGTCTCATGTTCACTTATCACTTTCAGTTTAAAGAAACAAAACTGGAGACTCAATCTACTTTATTATTTTTTCTTTAACTTACATATACTTATTGCCTTTTTTAGACTGTAGTACTACCACCACTGTAGTTTTAAAGGGTTTAACATTTTGAATTTGTTGCTTCACTTTTGTAACATCAAAATATGCACCATTGTCATTGCTCTGAAGTCCCAATGCAAGAACTACTTCTCACTTAGAAACAGAACTCTGAATGTCACCAAATGAGGGATTTTTGCAAATTTTATGGTTAAAATTCATTTTTTCCCCAAATACTTTAGGATATTCTAAGAAGTGTCCATCAAACTAAACTTTACAAATCTATAAAGTCTAACGAATAGTTTGTCCAGTTATATGATCAGCCATGCATGTTTTTCTGTAGGTGTTTTCTGTCACTTAAGCAATGAAAGCCCTCTACCCAAGAGGTAAATCCTTTTTTGTCTGAAACTCAAGTGTTTAAGAACTGATATACTTTTATATCCACTACCATTATGAGGTAGCTAAACATATGACTAATAAAGTCCGTTAAATGTTCCACATAATACACCAGCTCTGCTTCAACTTTATTTATTCTATTTTGGAAGCAGATAACCATCTTAGCTGCTTGCCCTGTGTCAACCATTTAACCCTGTGTTGGATAAAGTTAAAAATAACTGCATCTTTCAATAATCATTGGGACTGGTTACTACAAATTGCATAGTTAACTTCACACTTACTAAATTATAGCACTTTTCCTCTACCAAGCTAGTATTGTCAAGTATTGTTATGCCAATAATGACTTTTGAACTTCAGGGACAGCTCTAAAAATTTATAACATGTGAATGACAGAAGTTAACAGCACAACCAATCACCAGTGATTTATATAAAATGGTGCCCAATGTTCAGTTTCTAAATACTATGATAAGAAATTATGAGCATGCTGTATTCACTGTAAGTAACTTCATAATCCAAGCTTAATTAAGCCAACTGAATCCATATTGGTTGAAAGTAGTCAATCCAAAATGTGTCCATGGGTCCTTTGGATACACTAAAGTAAATAGGTAGGCAACAAATATACATTTAGAAACATGTTGAACAGTTACTTCTAGAAGCAAATATACAAATCCTTTTGACACCCGGACAGAACTAGAAGATGCTGCCAGATGGATATGGACCACTTCAGTGAATCTCGGATGAGAGCTTGCACTGGATTGACTGGAGAGAAGGGCAGCCAATCAGGCCATCCCCAGGTGAGCTGTGGTGCAGAGGGCAGAGTTCTATGACTTACCATCATGGACTACCCTTTAATTAAAGAGTAGAAAAAAGAACAAAGTTAAATTGAGTTCTCCATTAAAGTAAGTTAATCAAACCATGAAAATAGTAAGCAGAAACAAGCATTAAATGTATTGTGAAATGTGTATATTTTAATCTAGAACTTACAGCTCAATGCTTTGCATATGGGACATCAAGCTTGTTATTTCTGCTACTATTTTCCTGGCTAGGAAAAATGGAAAAGAATGAACTTACCAGGCTGTCTGAACGAGGGTTTGATTACGTTCACATTCTAAGACTTGTAAATACATAACAATGATCTGAGGGATAAGAGAAAAAACTCAACTTTAACACACGAGGAAAAGCGATAGATGCATGTTTTTAACACAAGAAACAATTTTCTTATATTTTTACGTGGTGGTGTTCTACTTCAATCCCACAGCAAAGGCTGTAAACCCATACACATCTAGTTCTTCTTGTCCATTGAGACATAGCCCCAATTTTACAACCTTTACAGGACTGTCACCTCTGCCATAGTGTAGGCAAGTGACTTCTACCAAGGCAACCACAAGCTACTAATTGGCCAAATGTTTCCGCTGTGTGGACAATTAACTCCAGTTACCTATAGAGGGGTGTGGGAGGGAGACCCCGGGTCACTTCCAAACCTGCATTTCTTCTATTACAGCTCACAGAGATGCTGTCAAGGCAGCTCAATACTTGAAAGCATGTATTTCATTTGACAACTCACCTTATGTGGATGCTTGACATGAACACAAAATCCCAACTCCTTCAGTACCCTCCTTTCTGCTTTGATTACTTGATTTTTGGTGTTTATGTAGTTCTGATCAAGTATCAAGGGGCTTGGAGTCCTATAGTTTGTAAGAAATAAAATCAAAACTGTTTTGCATATCCAGAATAGTTGCATCTCTGTTTTCCCTTCCAACCAACTAATGGCAACAGAAACCTGTTTTAAACTCCTGCAAGCAAGTTTAAGCATTAATCTTGTGCTGTCCAAGTTTAAACTAGTTTAGTTTCAACCTGTAATTCCTGTAGTTTGGCTCTGATTATGGCTAAACTAAGACTGCCATCTTGCTAACATTAGTCCTCTGTTACTGACTGTGCAAACTGCCTTCCAGTCTCAAAACTAAAATAATGTGATTTACAATTTATAATGCAAATTTCAGATACCTACAGTACCAACATTTGAAAGTGAGCAATGAAAATAATCTGAATACACTAACCATTACCTCTAGCAAAAGGCTTGTTTAACTATTTAAGTGCTGTATCAGCCATTACTAAGTTTAATTTAAGCAAGTTAATGTTTTATTGTACTGGAATTGCCTATGCATAGGACAAAAGGGAAGAGTCCATATCAAAATTTGAAAGAAAGCAAGTGTACCAAGATCAGATTTAAAAAGAGTAAATAGAATTTCCAAGGGAGCTTCAAAAGAGACCACCAGTGACCTCTGAGCAAAGAGGACCCCGAAAATTACACACTGCGGTGCATCCTTTTACACAAAGCAGGACACCAAGAAAAGGAACAACCCCCCTGGAATACTGAGCTATTAGAAAAACTAATGGGTGCAGTTCAGTACATCAAATGTTTGCAAGGTAAGAACTCTCAAACAGAAAGGTACACAAACCTGGTATGTCATGCAATTTCCAATGTCTCCACCCACAGTCCTGCAATATATTGTATTCAGGTAATTAAAAAGGTAAAGTCTCCAAAAACAACCCACAACGGCACTAATTACTGCACAGTATAGCAACCAAGCAACATATCCTATTTTGTTTATTCCTCCCTTTTTCTAGGCTTTTGCTTCCTAACTAATTTTTGTCTACATTTTTTCTTTATACTGTTGATTTAGCTTACAAGGTCTTAGAGCAGGGACCTGTCTTATATGTCTGTAAAGTACACAGCATATTTTGGGTGTTATACAAGTCAAAGGATAACAGTTTATCCCCTCAGTAACTAATTATACTTAAAAAAAGTGAATCAAATTGCATTATTTAACTTATCTCCAGCATTCCCAGCAAAACTTTTCTACATTATGATTTGACTGCAAAGATGCAATATCCATCAGTACAGAAAGACTGCAAATGCAACTCAGCATAATAAATATAACATGTGGTACTTATAACACCTCTTTCAGAGACCACCAGTCTGCAACTCACTTCTTCCAGCTGGACCACTGAGGGAAGTAATTAGTGGTCTAGTTCCCCCTGCTGGCAGGATGGGGCCAAATATATTGCAAGATGAACTTTGGAATGCCTTTGATGTTTGGATTAACTGTATGACCTGGGAGCACTCTAAATTATTAATTCCATGACAGCTCAAAATTTGTCATTAAACTGCATTTTACTGATGTACATAACTTCAAGAATCTCAAAGAGCATCTATTCAAAAACTGTTATATTCCTCAAACTCTGAGTCTACTTTGCTAATAAGACATTACATTGTTTAAAGGGGTAGTCTATTTTTTGTCTTGGTCAAGTTATAGTTAAGTTATAGTTATAAATAAATAAATAAATAAATAGATTTCAGGATCCATTCAAAAGTCTGGATTTGGCCCGCAGTCTACCTATTGACCACCCCTGCTGCACTAAAGCATAGTCACCCACGTTTTAAGCAAGAGTAACTAGTTTATGAATCATTGTTCAACTGAGGAAAAAGTCAACAAATGTTTGGTTTTTTAAAGTGAAGCTGAATCAGTAGTATCTCAATTCTCTATAGTTGTCACATGTTTAAGATCATCACCATGTACATAAGGTAAGATGCAGCAAGTTACCAAATTTGGAAACAAACTCATTCGAATCTTCTATAGGGATAGAAATACCTGGGGACGTGATTATGCCATCAATCTTATTAAATCTGTTTCCCACAGACAAGTAAATATTTGACAATGACTTGTCTAATAAGTACAGACTATATGCAGCCTATTCCACTTCAGATACTGCAAAGATTACAACCCAGTTATCAAAATATCTCCTCTTACTTTTAGGAGGGGATCATTGCTAAAGGAGGAATTTTTGAAGAACTATTAGGTCAGCAGGGATTCAATACTTTTAGTGTCTCCTGATGAGTTTTAAGATATGCTGAGACTTATCTTAAATGCTTAGGGTGGGATTTTAGATAAACTGCTTGGGTTAGAATACTAAAGCTAGGCTTATTCTGAAGCCTAGCTAAAGCATTTCAGAGACCATATTAAATTGGATATTATATTTTATTTATGAGTCTAACAACCAAAATATTAGCAAAACCATTATGTTTCAAGGCAAAAAACTTGATAGTTTAGCCGTATCTATTCAACTCCTCCTCTTGTTAGTAGTATGCTACTTTGTGATAAGTGACAGAGAAACATCTCACTGAACACTTAAGTCCACAAGTCAGGACCGAGTCTGACCATTTTTATAGGCCTACTGTAGACGTTTGTGACAGCAGTTCATATACAATGGTTATTTCCTACCTTCCATTAATATAGGCTTTTGCAAAGACGAATTCTCGAACTACATAAGAAACTCCAACATATCATGAAGACCTACAATGCTATCCAGACCTATAACCACCAGAAAGATTAGAAAATAGAATTATAAAGGACTCCATATTGTAGTCTGATTTTCAGAGGGGCTGAGTACTTACAGCACCTACTTGAGCAGTAGGCCCTCAGCACCAAAATGATAGGGAAGGGACGATAATCAAGCCATTAAAGGATGTCTGTTTTACTCAGTTACCCAGACATGCACCATGTTCATCAGGGACATCAGTTTTATGGTACTACAATCCTAACAAAGAGTCCAGAGAAAGAACTTATGTTCATAGCATCTAGATAGCATTAAAAGAAATGGAAAACTCATGATGTGCAATTTGGGATTTATCTACTTTATCACAAATATGATTCTGCATAAAAGGCAGTCAATTGTGCCCTACTGGTGACAGAAATTAAGTCTTAAATTTTTAAGCTAACAAAGAATAATTACACATGCGTCTGACGAAGTGGGTATTCACCCACGAAAGCTTATACTCCAATACATCTGTTAGTCTTAAAGGTGCCACAGGACTCTCTGTTGCTTTTTAAAGAATAATTAGGAATTTACACCATTCTTAAGATGGCATGTTCTAAAACTTCTTAATTTGCACCTATCTCCTAGTAAGAGGAAAGAAAAAGTTGCCACTGCTTCTTCCTGCAAATGTCCTCGGTCATAAGGATTTTCATTGTGCGCAACGCTCTGAATAGCCATTTTGCTGCTGGCCTGAAAAGGGGGGGGGGGGGAAGGGGAGGAGGGAAGATCAAGTGCTGCAAGGACTATTGAGATGTCTACTCTACCTACGCATCAGAAGTGCATCCCAAAGCAGCTTTCAGATTCTCTTCCTGAACACTGCACCCAACAATCTACCTTGCAATACATTGCAATGCATTACAGTTAAAGTGCCAAGTTTCACTAGAAAGGAAATATGTACGCAGAACATGGAGCTAGTGGCCATAACCTAGATAGCCTAACATTAAAGGTTAGTCACAAAATAATCTAAAACTATGACTAGTGAATCAGACCATAAAACGAGGATGTTTTGTAATACTAATTAAATGAACTGCCAAAAGTGAAGAAAAGTGAAAGAAAAGTCTTTTCTATCTTTTACCACTCCTAATTGGAATCACCACCTTTGATACTGATATTAGAACATTTTTTCTGTTTCCATTAGAAAGCAGATGGATAAGAGAAACAGAAGATGAAAGAAAAACCCTAATTAACATTTGTAAACATTAAAAATACCTCACACCACAGATGTGATCCACTCAGATCGCTCATTGCCACTGAAAGAGCCTGAAATTTGTCACATTATTTAATGTGACAAAAGATGAAATAAGAGTTCTATTTTGTGTGATATTCTAACTGAAACACTGCAGGCGTCAAGATTTGCATATATTACAAGCCAACGTCATGAAGTTATTTCACTGATGATGTAAAAGAGTGGCTTCCTAAAAGCTTCCCTTAAATCAGTTCATAAGACTATAAAACTGATGTCAGAGGAGGAGTGGGTGTTTATATATAATATAGTTAGCAAAAACCAGGGGCTATAACCCACATCAACTGCAACTTATGTTCCACATGCTAAACATGGCTCAATATATGCAGTTAAGTATGTTTTCAGATATTCCAAAAGAACAAGTTCTTAGTGTGCGGTTATGAAAAACAGGCTTTCAATTTAATACCACAGATACTTATTCATGCACACAAAAATTTTATGTACAATACTCCGTGGCATATTGTCACAGTGAGAATACAACAGAAGCATTTATTTGTCAAAAAAATATCTTTAGCCCTGTGCCTACTACCTAGAAGTGAGCTACTTAGTTGACCAAAGGCTTTGTATGAGCTTCTGACTTGAGAATTCAGGCGTCTGAGCCCCAATCATGCGAACACATGCACAGGTGAGGTAGTTAAAGTTTTTTGTTTTTTTAAGCACAAGACTGTGCGTATGCTAGGTCAGGGCCTTTTTTGTATTCTTGAACAACAAAGTTTATATATCAAATCTCAACCGTAAGAGGGAAAAGTTAGAACTAGGAACCAGTAAGTGTCTAAAGAAGGATATAAAGAATGAGTATTTAATGCTTCAACAGAAGTCAGAGTTTTAGTACTTTACAGATTAACAGAAATTAGACTAAGGCAATATGAAAACTAAATGTAACATAACTAGACTGTTTCAATTCTTCTTGTGTCACGATGTCAGTGAAAATTCTAAATAGAGCCTAAGTGTTAGCTTCAAATAAAAAAATATTAAACTAATATACTAAAAACCTGGACAGCAAAGAAAAAAGCTTATAACAAGATACAGGAGTTCTTCCAAATGGTTCACCAGCGGCCAACCTGTTAGTCCCCCGATTCCAGTGACCTATTCTCAGAGCACTGGCTTCTCCTTGGGGATTTTCGATACTTCACTCACTGTTGCCATGACGACAGCTTCATCTCTATGTACCACTCCACATCACCCAGGCTTTGGTAAATGTAGCTGGTCGCTGTATAGTCGGTTGCAAGGGAAAAAAGAGCTGAAGTTAATAACGTGTACAGTTTACGTATTAGTAAGCTTGTAAAAAGTACAGAAAAAATGTTTATATCCAGCTTGTTTTAGAAAAGCAAGCCTGAGTGTCACACTTCGACATTAAGATTAATTTCATGCAGATTCATTTCTCAGAATCTTAAGGCAATGATACCCATTTCGCTATAAGTGAATTAACAAATGGGTCAAGAAGTGATCTCTGTCTCTTTGGGCATGATGCATTGTAGACCCCACTTAACATGCGTAAATGATATTCTGAATTGGAACAGGCTATCTGGAAAAAAATAAGTTTCTCTGATCCTTCCAACACCATATAAAAGTTAACTCATTCTTATTCTCATAGCACAGAAAAGCATTTTTATATCACCAATTAACCGTTAGTCTCTGGCTCAAAGGTGAGACATTAAGTGAACCAGTTTTAGTAATCAAATAAGAAGATTCCTTTGTCGTAATTATGGTAAATGGTAATCTTCAAGAGATTCCATGGAATCCAAACTGTAAATTTACAGAATTCTCCCAGTGCCAACAAGTGCAAGAAACCATTAGTTCCTCATGTTAAAAACTAGGTTCCATTCAAATCAGACACAGCTAGTCAATTTTTCTATTACTAAAACTGACTTTAAAGAGGTGAGCAAGTGGCAATAAAAGAAAGTTTAACATAAACTGGCTATATTTTGTGCATTGTAAGTACTGAATACGTAAAATAAATTCACCATAAATACAAATTTCCCTAAACTTTTTCTATTCTGTTTCTTCAAAAAGTCAACTTGTAGAATATTTTTTTTTAAATTCCCCTTTCCGCCTGGCAAGACAGACTACAGAAGATAATAGTTTTATTTTTAACTAGTAGAAAAGAAAGTCCTTCAGAGCTTTAATTTACTGTATTCTGTATCTTTCAACATAATCAATACAACTAGGTAGGTTTACTAGAGACAACACAGGTGAGGTAATACGACTGAAATGGCTTCATGAATATCTGCAGAAAGTCTGAATTACTGTTTAAAAGCCAGATTTAAATATTGCCTTCTTGTGAAATATTTATTGAGCATTCCTCCCCTTCAAACACATTCCCTGCACCTTCTTTAATCTAATAATGTAACCAAGCTTGCTTTACACTTAAAAAAACAAAAATTAAGCACTCAACTGAAAAAGGCTCTACAAACTAAAAGCGGAATCACCACAGAACCACACACAGATCAGATAAATGAATATAAGTTTCAATTTTACTGATTTGAAAGTTCTCACTGTACCATTAAAGTACCACTCATGTTCTGTAATCACAGGTGCCTCAGCTTCCAAGATTCAATCCTACATTCCTTGCTGATGATGTGTCATTAAAGCTCCATACACTGTAGATCAAATCATACTTTCCACTGTCACTTTATTAAACTGCTTTCTCACCACAAATGCTGTTATGCTTATATACTTCAGTCTATTTTACTGTCTACAGTAGCCAAGTATAGAGAATATTCTAACAAGATATGTCACTAAGATACTACAGAATTACTTAATTTTCACAAAGCACTTTAGCAAAGTAGACCTACCCTAAAGATTAAAAAAAAAATACAAAAAAATACAAAACAATCTGCCAGCTAACCAAACTTATACCTAAGACTTCCTTTCAGAAACTCAAAGACCCCCCCCAATTCAATTAGGAACAGACTTTACATTGGAACCAATACTCAGACCTGCAGCTATATGAATCCTGCTTTCAGAGCAATATATTTCTGCCTTTTCCAAATCATCAAAGTCACATTGATGGAGACCAGCTGCAGAAACGTTAATGTGTATGTAATAGCCAATTCTCAATTTTAGAGTGTTGGACTTAGCCTGGAAGATCAAACTGGTTTGATAAATCTGGCATATATTACAGTGATAGTGGGTGGATATACTGAAAATAGAGCCAGTCTTACCTTTTTGCTCTTAACTGGCGCAAATGATGAAAGACATTTATCACATCTCTTATACGACGAGGTGCTTCTTCAATTTTGGAAGCGAGATTGATGCAGGCCATAGCAACAATCTGAAAAGAAGCCCATTTCCGTGAGACGGAGATTTGTAGGTCCCACTGGACACGTTACACAATCAGATGGAGAAACCACCCCCTAAAAGCTGAAAAACGCCGCTTTACCGGCACTACTTCCCTAAGGAAGTGCCGGGAGGGCCCGGGGCCGGGCTGGTGCCCTCCCGCAGTTCCCATGCAGACCGGACCAAGGAGCCCCACGAAGCTGGGACTGGGTGAAAGCCTCAAGCAGCCCGCGCCCCACCCCGGGACAAGCGGGTACGCCGGCCGGCCGCGACTCACCTCGAAGTTGTGTTTGACGAAGGACTTGGAGTAGAAGAAGCGGTGGAACAACACCTGCCCCGTCGCCATCGCCACCTGCGAACACAAACCCCCGGCCAGGGGGAGATGAGCCAGCTCAGTCGGCGGGAGCGGAGCCGGCTCAGCCATCTCCCCCGGAGAGCCGGCTCCGGCACTAGGCCGCCGCCATTTTGTGTCAAGCACCCGGCTGGCACCCTCCCCCTCCCCCACTCCGACCTCCACACACACGCGCCTTCCCTGCAGCGCCTCCTCGCCACAATGGCGGCGCCACCCCTCGCCCTGCGGCCCAAGCCGCGCCGTGACCTTCCGAGGCCAAGGCCTCCTCACCCCCCGAGCCGCGGCCTAAGGCCAACGGGGCGCGCAGGGCCCCTCCCGCCGCCCAGCCCCCGGGGAGCGGGAGCTCTAGGCCCAACACTTACCTGCGGCAGGCGGAGGAGGATCCCGGCCGCCTGGATGAGCTCGCAGCCCAAGATGCGCAGGTCGGTCTCGCTATGCAGGTCCAGGCCGTCCTGCATGGAGGGGGTGGGCGAGAGCCGCTCCTCGGGGATGAGCGAATGGTCGATGGTGAGCGACACCTCCGAGTACAGCCGGTCCCCAATGAGGATGCCCGGGGCCGCTGGGGCCGGAGGAGGCGCGGCGGGAGCGGCAGCCGGAGAAGTGTGGGTCGCAGCAGAGGCCATGATCGCTGAGCACAGAACCTACCGCACCCGGAGCCGGCCACGCAGAGAATAACCCGGCCTGCCCGGCTTCTAGTGACGCAGTACACCGCGGCGCCTCCGCGCGCTGCGCACTGGGAAAAAAGAGTTCCGCCGCGCGTACCGCCTCAGCGCCGTGGTGACGCGTTCAGGAACGTAGTAGGGCCTTAATGCCCGCGGTGGGCGGGGCCATGGTACGGGGACGTTTCGCTGCTGGCCCGGGAGAAGCGGGTTAAGAATGAGAACGCGGGGCGCATAACTAGAGCACAACGCTGGGAGCCCGAACTCCTGGGTTCCGTACCCAGCTCTGCCACAGACCCAGTGCCCCGGGGGTGTGCTTCAGTCTCCTCATTCTGTAAAATGGCTGTAATCACACACCCCTTTGTGAAGGGCTTTAGGGCCATCAGGCGGAAGGTGCTTATACATTAAACGCGGTACCTTGTAACGTGGGATAAGCAGCAACCCCTGCATACCTGCTCAGTCATTGGGGGGCATAGGCAGAGTTGGGATGCTGTAGGAATGATGCTATGCACCTACTGGTAAAGTTTGAAGGAGGTTTCCAGTCCCAGCACCCTTGGTTAAAATAATGCATTAGGAATCGAGAAGGCCAGGACCAGACTCACACTTAATATGTGCCGTAATTTCCTACAGAATGCTGCTGCATAACTTGTGTGATCTCTGTTCCAAGCCTATTTATTTTTAATGGTTCTAGAAAAATCTTATTTGGCAAAACTGTTATTTTGAAATAATGGTCCTTCATTTACAATCAGGAGGCCCCAAATTTTAAGATAAGACCAAGCCTTGTCCAAATGATAGTGCCATCATCATAGGCACAGCCCATGTATTAAAGCTGAGATTCTGTCAATATTTTAATTACTGCCTTTTTGTAGGGAGGGAGTAGGGGGCAAATAGAATTAGCTCATGTACGAATGAAAACAATCCCTTCTAAAGTCCACTGTTTGAAAAATATGTATAGGTATTTTTTATTAATAAAAATACTAACTTAACCAAATTTGCTAAACACTGTATAAGTACTGAGCTCTGAATCATAGATCCAGAATTTAGTAAGATGCTCACCCTAGGGCTTGTGGATTTTTATGTCCTGCTCAGTCCTCTTCTCATCTTTGTGGGGAAACTTCTCCTCTGTCTCTTCCCAGTATTCCAGATCCTCAAAATAGCCATCACGAAATCCCCATAAATCATAAACACTTAGAAGAGTTCTGAGGAGTGGCCAGGGTGAACAACAGTACAGGTGATATTTATCCTGTTCCTCGGTGTCTAATACAGGGTTGATCTCAGAACTGGAGAAGAAATTATGGTCCTCTTGGCAGTCTTCATTGGGTTATTTAAGCCTTATCTTATTCACTAATAACCAATCAACCAACAAATACTTAACTATAATCCACAACAGTGTTTTATTGCAGACTTTCCTAATCCAAATTCATTCCTTTTGTGTTATCACCATTTCTATATTTATTTTAACCTCTCTAATCTAGATTTATTGGACAAAACTCATCCTAGTGAAGTCTGTGGAGTTACAGCAGGGATGAATTCGAGCTCATCGCACTACCATTTCCCTATTTTTCATTTTTGTGTAGGGGCTTTTGAGGGGCAGCTCATGTATTTGACAGCTCTTGCATCCTAGAAGAGGGGACTGAACCTCACTGAGTGTTGTGCCTGACAGAAGTGGCAGCAGTGTTAGCAGCTACCCACTCCTCTTGTATAGGTCATTAAACAACCTCCTCAAAAATGCTAACAGTCCTCTTGCCATCTGTGAGGCCCCACTGGCTGAAGTATTTTGTCATGCCTCTTTTTCCCATCAGCCTTCCCAACCTAGGGGCTGGGCTCCAGGAGCCCAATATAAACTCTGACAGCTGGATTCCAGCTGCCAAACTCCACTTGAACCTGCTGCTTCCAACATTCCATGCTCCTGATTGGGGCTTACCTCTGCCAGTCAAGTATAGTCATGAAGCAGGACTCTCACAAACCCCCATTCACAGCCTACTCTTCTTTCAAGCTTCACTTCTCTAATGCAGTGGTATAACGAGTCACAATTTTGGTACTGCTATCAGCTTGTGGGGCAGGATAGCTGTTGTTACTGTGCAATGAGACTGAGGCAGACTGCCTCATGGGGAAGGAAAGTACTAAAATCCAGGTACAAACCTGCCTGGTAACCTACGGGAACATTCACATCACACCCACATATAGTCTGGCCTGATCACTTTTAAGATGGGAAAGGAACATCCAGACCTTCCTGATTACTCTCTTGGGTTAGTAGGGAACATGTACACACACATAAAGACCTGCCAGCTCACTCTGCTAGAAAGGAAGGAAACTCACAACCATACACAGTCCTGCCTGTTCCCTCTCATGATGGGGGAGAGGAAACTATCACACCCACAGCTACATACAGGCCTGCCATAGCGGAGAGTGAGATCATAATAATAACTTGAATTTATTACAGCAGTTTTCATCCTAAAGTGATTTATAAACTATCATTTGTAAATTATTTGAAGTTGGGGGTTTTGGTATAAATTCTTTGTTTTTAATAGCACAAGCTTGGAAAACTCAACACTTTCATGGAGAAGTATAAGATACATTTTATCCACAGAGACCCGATTGACTCTCATATAAACATTCATTTAATTCTGGTGAATAGGACTAGCTAAATACATATTTAAACATTTAAAACATTGTTATTCAACTAATTAAGTAAGCATTTGTGGCATGGACTAGAACAGGGGTCGGCAACATTTGGCACGCGGCTCGCCAGGGTAAGCACCCTGGCGGGCCGGGCCAGTTTATTTACCTGCTGACGTGCATCGCTCGCCCCGCTTCCCGCCGCCCCCATTGGCCCAGGACAGCGAACCGCGGCCAGTGGGGGCCGCGATCGGCCGAACCTGCTGCGTAGCAGGAAAACAAACTGGTCCAGCCCGCCAGGGTGCTTACCCTGGCGAGCCACGTGCCAAACGTTGCCGACCCCTGGACTAGAATATTCTCACAGGAAATGGTCTCCTGCTGCAACATACATGTAGCACTAAAGCAAATAAATTTATTTTTAAAGCAAGAAAACATCAGTAATATAACACTGTCATGTTATGACTTTATTTCTTTTCTACAAGGTGACTGATTTAGGTGTAAACCGTTTATTGATAGATGTTGGTCCAGTAGAGTGACAGTTGCTCAGTACACTAACATTCATCTGCTATATTCTGGCTGGCTTAGAAACCTATCAGGTGCTTCAGCCAATAAGATGCCAGCTTACTCATATACCCTTTAAAAACTACTGTATTGGTACGATTAAACTGGTCTTTGGCTAAATCTGATAAGGTCAGCTATCCAGTAATGTGACTGATCATCACAGATTCCATTTGGTATACTTAAGTGATTGACTGCAGCAATTTAAATGTAGAGGTCATTAGAACATCTTCAAGTTGATAAATGTACATCCATATTTTTCTCTGGTGAAAGCTCTTAATCATTCTAGTGGCTTATGGTAAAGATCCCTCAGAGAGGAAAAACTTTTGGGATGTAACAACACAGAGGACATGCAAACCGTGGTCCTGGATAAACAAGGATGATAGAGCTTTGTTTGTACCTTAAGTGACACCTGAGAGCATGGGAAGGATTTGGATTCAGATGATAAAGGACTCTTAAAAAAAAAAAAAAAGACGTTTTCCCCCCCCCCATACACACAACACTTGGTTGAATTACAGTACAAGATAATTTTACAGCTGAACTGTAGTTCTTTTCATCCCTAAACCAACCAACCAA